TCAGGAGATGCAAATCAAAGCCATAATGAGTTATCACCTCACCCATTATGACAGCTACTATCAAACAAAAAATCACAAATGGAGGAGAGAGTACTGGAAAAGCAGAATCCATGTGAGTAGGACTGCAAAGTGGCACAATCATCATGGAAAACCATGTATGGAGAGTCCTCCAAAACTTTACTCAAAAAATTAAAACACAGCTACCACATGAACCAGCAATCCCTCTTCTGCGTATATATTAGTTCCAAGATCCCTAGCGGATAAATGAAACCAGAGTACACAGAACCTCTCCATGTTTTCTAATATATATCAATAGTAAAGATTAACTGATAAATTAGACACAGCAAATCAACAAACTAGGACAACCGTAATCATATACTATAATAAATTATGTGACTGTGCTTTCTAAAAATATTTTATTGTAGGAGCTAAGGGTATAACTCAGCCACAGAACAGATGCTTAGCATGTACAAGGCCCTGGGTTCAAACCCCAGAAATTGCCAGGTGTCAGTGGCTTACAATTATAACAAATACAGCTACTTGAGAGGCAGCGCCCTGGCATAAAATCGGCCAAACACCATCTCAATCAACAAGATGGGCATGGTAGAACACACCTGTAATTCCAACTAGGCGGGAGGCAGTACATGGAGCATTGTGGCCTGAGGCCTGTTTCTGGCAAAATCTGGAGACCCTATATGAAAAATAACTAAAGCAAAAAGAGGTGGGGGCATGGCTCAAGTGGTAGAGGCCCTGAGTTCAAACCCAAGTACCATTAAAAAAGTACCCATAATAAGTCATTGTTCTGGTCACTGTTTCTGTGCCCTAGAAAGAACAGTAGTTCTCTGGAGTACTGCTATCCAATTCACTAGATGCTTCAGAAGGTTTAAATATACAAAGCAACTGAAAAACAAAACAATGACATCGAAACCTGTAATTCTAGTCAATAATCTAAATTTGACAGTAACTGACTTGACAGTGCAGTCTCTTCCCTCACCTGCTTCTACCTTTCTCTACTTCTGTGCAAAGGTGGGATATTGAGCCAGTGAGTCTGTTCTTGTGAGTTTAAGGTTTCTTAAGCCACTTAAAAATAAGACCACACATTAACACAAGTCTGGAGAAACAGAACAGAAAAAGGAAAATGAGGCAAAAAGTTAAAGCAACTTGTGTACACAGTAAGAAGAAAAGTAAAAGCTTAAGTTTAGCTACAAAGTGTGTAAGGTACCTATCATTTAAAAAAAAAAAAAGCCCTACCTGCCAAGTCACTGGAAAGGAGAGGTGGTGAAACAGGAGGAGCCCAAGAATGTACAATAAATAAAATTTTCCCTAAGAAGTTTATTATATACCCCAGAATAATAAGCTGGATATAAAAACGGCATTGAAAAGATTTATAAGTACCTTATTTATAGAGGTTGAGAAGACAAAAAGAACTTGTGCTGGAATGAGTAAGAAAGAATTCACTGAAGAAGGGAGTTGATGAATTAGACTGTTAGAAAAAGGCAGGAGAAACTCCAGGGAACAAAGGTAAGTAATGAGGAAGATATAAAAAGCATACTGTAAAAGGCGAAATGTCAACTTAGCTTAAGTAGAAAAACTGTATGAGAGCACAGTTAATTAAACACAAAACTAGAAAGGCAGGGCTGGGTCAAATGTTAGAGGATCTGTTAAACTCCTTACTTATAGTCCCAAAATAGAATGAAACTTTATTTTTACATATTTGTTAGTTTCATAAAATAACACTGTACATGCATGCTTTAATTCCACATGTTTGCATTAATATGAATGAGTTTATGACACTGAGGACAGTCCCTAATAAAAGAATAAATGCTTGAGCTGAATTCACACAAGTGATAATCATTCTCATTCTCTAACCATGATCTTTGGAGTTAAAAAAAAAAAACCTCAAACTACATCCCTATTACTAAAATGTTATGTCAGCTATTCAGATACTAGGTTTTGTTTTTTTGTGGCTTTTTTTTTTTGGTGGTACTGGGGTTTGAACTCTGGGCCTCACACTTGCTAGGCAGGCACTGTACCACTTGAACCACTCTGCCAACCCAAGACTAACTTTTTTAAATGGTTGCAGTTAGACCTTTTTTTTTTTTAAAACAGGGTCTCACTATATAGCCTACGATTTAGACTTTTTTTAAATGTAGCATTTTTTTTTTTAAGTCCAAGTTAGAATTTTGGAAGATTCTCAGTTAGACTATGACTATCCAGAATCTAGTTAAGAATTAAAAATTCCTGACAGGCATAGGTGGCTCACGCCTGTAATCCTAGCTAGCCAGGAGGCTATCTGGAGGATTGAGATTTGAGGCCAGTTCATGAGACCCCAATTCCAAAATAACCAGAACAAAATGGCTCACCTGGTATAGCACCTACTTTGCAAGCAAAGCCCTAAGTTCAAACCTCAGTAGTCCTACGGGGGGGTGGGGGGGGGAATTCCACCTGGCATGGTGACATGTGATCACTTAGGAGGCTGAGGCAAGAGAGTAAGAATACACACACAAACGACCCTGCCTCAAAAAAAGAAAAAAAAAAAAATTAAAGCCCAAACATCTGCAACATTCAAATCGGTTACCATTTCTCCTTTAGAGAGCTAAATCCCACCCACCTAGTAAAAAAAGGACCAACTAAACCTCCAAGTGTTACCTGATAATGATACCACCCAGTTTCAGACAGATGGGCTGCTCTATGCCCTCTTTCACCACTGTGGCACCATTACCCTCCTCAAAACCCTTGAGGGGAAAAAACCTGAAGAATCCTCAAATCATTACAAGCTGTGGAGGTAAAAAGAAGCACTCCACAAAATTGGGGCGGACCGGGGCGGTGAACTGGAGGTGAGGCTCAGTGGCAAGAGCTCTAGATTACCACTCCTCCCTCCATAGGCTCTGGGTTTGATGCCAGCATCGCAAAGGAGGGAGGGGGAAAAAAGTGAGAGTGGAAGCAAGGTGGTACCAGGAAACCAAACCAATTCCCCACACTACACTTCCCCTTCTAAAATTTAAGTTGAAAGAAAACTGGAGAAATCTAGCCCAAAGCTCTCATTTTACAAGAAACTGAGGTCCAGGGCAGTTAAGTGATTTGCCCTGTGTGACTGCTTCCCCATAAAGGTGGTTAAGTGTCTGTTTCGGTCATAGCAGCATCTAAATCACTTAACTCAGTTACTTAAATGTTTTTAAGTACCTGATATACAAAAAGTACAATATTCACCCTTCTGCACCCCCTTGTTGTCTAGCCTCAGGAGCTATATAAAGAATAGTATCCTTTAATGAATACTATTTAGCCACTACTGTGGAAAAAACTACTCTTCTTTCAATAATTTTAATTAGAGTGGAAGCCTGAAAGTACCTGAACTTCAAGTCCTGACTAAACAAGCGAGCTGATAAAAATCTTAGTTTTGGGTACACTACTAAATGCATAATGACTGTAAGTGCTTTGTCTGTTGCCCTCTATATTAAACGTTTTTTGAGACGCACGGTACCTAATCATTGTACATGCAGTTAACCCAAATTATCATCCCTTTCGAGACGGTTCAGTTAGGTAATTTTGTATAGTTGTTCTATTACAAATAATGTAAAAGTATCCTACCCGCCAGGGGTTAACACTTTGGTGGTTGGGGCGGGGGAGCTGGGGTGGTTGTGGCTAGTACTTGGGTAGCTGAGGCAGGAGGATCTCAAGTTCCAGCCCAGCCTGAGCTACATGCACAGCGAGTCAGATGCAGGCCTGGGCTACCTAATGTGACCCTGTCTCAAAATTAAATGAATAACCTCTACCAAGCCACAATACATCACGACTACAAGGACAGAATTTTATCTGTAAAAAGCCAACCACCACCTAAAAAAGCCACCAGTCCCACCAGTCTTCGCTTTGTTGAAGAACCTTGGGGGGACGATTGGGACCCGGTTCTGTGGATGCATTAGATTTTACCACCTCCGCATAGCACCAGTTTGGGGGCAATGCAAACACGCCACATATCCATGCCTTAACCACGTCTAATACTCAATTAAGCTCCGCAGCAAAGGTTTAAGGGGGGGTGGGGGGGGGGTTGCAGATAACCAGCATTTGCTCGCATGTCTTAGCCGCACTCAAAACATCCCTACAAGAAGCGAGGCCCGTTCTGAATGCGCGGCCAGCAGGGCTCTCGGCCTGGGACTGGCCGGGCTCGAGTCCCTTGGCGAGTCCCCGAGCTCACGACCGCAAGGCCGGGCCCTCCTCAAACTGCCACACGGGGCTCAAAAAGGAACAATAAAAGGCGTTCTCACCGCAAACACAGCACGAGAGGGACTGTCGGAAGTAAGGCAGGAGCCTGTTAATCTCTGTAAACGCCTTGGGGTCTCCGGGGTCGTAGTTGAGCACGAGGCGGCTCGCGGAAATGTAGAGAGCAGTAGCATTCACGGGGTTCATTGCAGACGCTTCGACACCGAGGGCTCCCGGTGCAAAAGAAATTCCGGATCCAACTTTGCAGGCAGCCAGGAAACAATGGCCAATTTGCAACAATTCGGAAGAGATCGGAGCAGAACCACTGGCCGGAGAAGTAACCAAAGTCCGTGCAAGTTTGTGAAGCTGGAACAATCCTCCCACACATGGGGCCTTGGCGCCCCTCCTCCGTCCCTGAGACTTGCAGACCAAAAGAAAAAGAGTAAGGAAAAAAAAGAAAACCGCCGGAGACGGGGAGAGCGAGGGCAGCGGCGATCGAGTCCGAAAGCGCTCAGTCTAGCCCCAGGGCGCGGCGGGAGGGCGGCGAGGCTCCAGCTGCATGTCCGGCCGCGGAGGCACCTCCTGGTCGAGCTGGCGCGCGGGAGCGGGCTGGGCCGGGCTGGGCCGGGCCGGGCCGGGGGTCGGCTCGCTTCTCACGGGCTGCGGGGCCCCTCTTACTCCATCGCAGCGCCCGGCGAGCAGGCAGCGGCGAGGTCAGGGGCGCGCGCGGACGTCGGCTCCCGCGGTCTAGTGCGAGGAGCCGCGGCGGCGGCGGAGGGTGCTGCTACTCCGGCAGGCGGACGCCGCCGCCGCTCTTGCCATGGCGGACGGGGCCCAGACTGCGCCCTGGCTCTCCGCCCCGCGGCTGCAGCCCGCTGTTCCTGGAGTGGCGAGACGAGCGAGCGAGCGGGCGGGCGGGAGAGTTCCCCCGCCCCGGGGAGAGAGAGAAAGAGGAGGGAGAGGAAGAGAGAGAGGGAGGGAGGGAGGAAGTGCGCGGGCCGCGGCGGTAGCGGCGGCAGGAGGGGGCGGGGAGCAGGCCCGGCGGGCCGCGGCGGCGCCCCTCGCTCTTCAGTCGCACACTCCGGGGTCACCAACGCAAGCACCGCCCCCTCACTGCCCGGCCATCTTTTCGGGACTGTACAGACGACTCTTCCGTCAAGCGCGACGGCCACCGCCGCCCCGCAACGCCCGCCAGCCCGCGGCTAAAGCGAGTGCTCGCCCCGCCAGGCCGCCGCCGCCGCCGCCGCCCAGCGCACACGGCAAGGCCCCGCTGCAGGCCCCTCCCCCGCGCCTCGCCGCCCTCACCCCGACTCCACGCGCCGCTCTAGCTCGGTAGGGCCCGGGCTGCTGCAGCCGTAATGGATCCCGCGGGCTGTGCGGCGCCTTAGGCCCGGCCAGCGACAACGACCGTTACCCCAACGGGCAAAGCCACTGTCATCCCCGAGACTCCCCCGCCGCCGTCGTCGCTAGCGCTCGCACGCATGCGCAGAGCGCACTCTCACCCCTCCCCCCGCCCTTCCTTTTCCCTTCGCTTCCCTTTTCCCCTGCTTCTCCTCTAAAGAGCCCCCTCCACGCCCTCCCGGAGCTACCGGCTCGCTGGGCGCAGGCGCAAAACCCCCACCCGACTCTACCGCCTTTCGCCCTTAACGCGTGCGCTTTGACCGCCCACCCAGAAAACCGGATAAACACATTAGCCCGCTCACGCCAACCCCTCCCCGCGGCCAGCCCACCCCCTGCTGACTGCGCATGCGCGACTCTCCACTTACGGCTCTCCGAATGGAGCATGCTCTCTGCGAGCCGCCAGCTCCGTCCGCCCCTCCCCCACGCCTCTCAAATTCCCTCTCCCGGGCGTGTGGGCTGTGGTGAAATATTCGTTAGCTGACACGTCCTTCCCCGGTGTGGGCTGTGGGCTCCCTCAGTACACTGCCTCGGTGTCCGCCAACGCGGAAGCCTGGCCGGGTCGCGCCATGTGGCTGTCCTCACGGGCCCCCCGTGTCCTGACCACTGCGGGAGGAAATAGCTTCGCCCGGCCCCGCCCCCGCGGCCTTCCTCCCGGACGGCGCCGCCCGAACACCCGCGGCGTGCGGCGGCGGGCGGAGGCGACGTGGCCGGTCCCCGGCAGCCTGACGGCCTCCGGGCGTGGCGGACGCTAGTGGCCCGGACGGCACCGAGCCCGGCTTTAAAAACAAAACGGCCCCGTTAGTCCCTGTGGGGAGAACCAGTCGTGCGAACAAACGTCTTCTTCCTAGGGCCTGAATCTTTCACGATCCTGTTCTTTAAAACGAGCCTTTACCTTTCTTGCAGGAGACCAAGGACACCGGGATATAACTAAACCAAAGCCTATTTCTCCCCTCTCAAAGTGCACCTCCTTTGAGCTGCTCAGATAGACCATAAGAACCATTTCCTGTCTCTGGACATAGCGAGATTTTTCTGCGCGAAGTGTAATTCCTGATGTGTGACTAGTGGCATGCGATGTGTGCACACGTGCGCGTGTGTGCATGAAATACGTTCTTGGAGTACGTGCTGGTTTTAATAGCTAAGATATCAAGGGAGCCTCAGGTGTCAATTCCATTACCATTTGAACACAGGTGACTTTTTTGTTTTTTTGCAAAGTCTACCGCATTAGTCCTTTAGTATTAAGCAGTAAGAATCTAACTTCCTAATTTTGCATTGCAGCAAAGCAAGTAAAGCTGTGGAAAATGTATCTGCTAGTCTTGTACGTGGAAATTGACGTGTGTTCTAAATTTAACTCATTTTTAAAACCTCCATCTGCCAATTTTTTTTTTATAAGAGATCTTTTCTAAGCTCACCTTCAAATAAAACTGTTATATGGTTCTATTTTTATTCCAGACTGGAAGGTCCTCTGCTCCCACAGCACACAGGTTCTCCCTCAGAGGAGCAGCATGGAGGGAAGATAATCAACATGGCTGGTTTTCCATCTGGCACATAAACCAGCAGTGGCTGTGGGCATGTGAGTATTTGCTGGGCGTTGACCTGCTCATTTTCTCATAAATGGGTTTTTAGAAATTCTGAGATGTGCACTCCCAAAATTAAGATCAATTCTATTGATGGTTCGTGTGTGTGTGTGTGAAAGAGCAAACTTCTCTGTCTGAAATTGGTTGCAATTGGTGATAGATTATAGTACATGTGGGCAAAGCATCTTGAAATAACATTTCCTTCTAATTATTGACTTACTTGAACCTTGTCTGAAAAGGAAAAAAATAGAAAATACAGGACTTAGATTGAATATTAAGTACAAACATATAACTCAAATCCCTTAAACTGTTAAGATTTAATTTTTTCATATTTTATGTTTAATTATTTTGCCATACTAGGACTTGAACTCAGGGTATACACCTTGAGCTACTCCACCTTGAGCCACTCCACCAGTCCTTTTTTGTGATGGGCTTTTTTGAGATAGGGTCTCATGGAACTGTTTGCCTGGGGCTGGCTTCAAACTGCAATCCTCCTGATCTCAGCCTCCTGAGTAGCTAGGATTACAGGTGTGAGCCACCAGCACCCAACTTATGTTTATTACTTGGAAATAACAGCATTAGGGTGTCAGAGCTTGCAAAAATACAGGATGCCAGTTAAAAATATTTTAACAGACTTTATATTTTAGAACAGTTTGGGATTTACAGAATCATTACACATAGTTCTTGTATACCAGTCAGTTTCGCCTATTATGAATGGGGATATGGCTCAAGTGGCAGAGTGCCTGCCTAGGAAGCTCAAGGCCCTGAGTTCAAAACCCAGTACAGAAAAAAAAATTTTGTGGGAACTCAGGGCCTGGTGTTTACTAGGCAAACACTCTACCACTTGAGCCATGCCCCAGTCCTAACATCTTACATTCAGATGGTACATTTGTCATAATCAATAGTAATATATGAACATTAACTAAAATCCACACTTCCATAGTCAGACTTCCTCAGTCTTTCTCCATGGTTCTCTTCCTGTTCCAGGACACCACATTACATTTAGTCGGCATGTCTCCTTCAGCTCATCTTGGCACACAGGTAAGTATTCATCTCAAAAATAAGGATTTTTTTTTTTTTTTAGTATAGGCACATCCCATGCAAAATTTAGACATAGATATATCAAAATAGCTATATTCATTGTTGTTCTAAAATTTCAATTTAAATGAGCACTGTGAATTTTATCTGGCAACCTAAAGTAGGTATATTTTGACTGTTTAGACCTTTCATTGTTTCAACATTGCATTAGAAATCCTTGAGGAAAGGGGTTCTTTTCATTGTGTCAACATGTATTTACTGAGTCCCAGCACTAGTAGACCCTATGCTAGACACTGAGGAGGAAGCGCCTTCTTACTCGTGTTGTGTGTGTGTGTGTGTGTGTGTGTGTGTGTGTGTGTATTTTACAGAAAACAGCACAAGTTGGGTACCAATGGCTTACCCCTATAATCCTAGCTACTTCAGAAGCTGAGAAAAGGAGGGTAGAGGTTCTAGGCCAACCAGGGCAGATAGTTTACAAGACACCCATTTACAAAATAACCAAGGCAAAATGGACTAAAAGTGCAACACAAGTTGTAGAGCACCTGCTTTGCAAGCATGAAGCCCTGAGTTCAAACTCCAGTCTCACCAGAAAAGGGAATAAATAAATAATTAAATAAATAAAAATGGTGAGCCAGACACAGTGACTCACACCTGTAATACTTGCTACTCCGGAGGGGAGATCGGGAAGATCGCAGTCCGAGGCCATTCCAGGCAAACAGCAAAAGCCCATCTCAACCAATAAAAAGCTGGATGTGGGCTGGGCTCCAGTAACTCATGCCTGTAATCCTAGCTACTCAGAAGGCAGTGATGAGGAGGATCGCAGTTCAAAGCCAGCCTGGGCAAATGGTTCAGGAGTCCCTATCTCGAAAAAACCCATCACAAAAAAAGGTTGGTGTTGTGGTTCAGGTGTAGGCCCTGAGTTCAAATCCCAGTACTGCCAAGAAAAAAAAGCTGATGGATGTGGTAGCATATGCCTATCATCCTATTTATACTGGAAGCATAAATAGGAAGATCATAGTCCAGGCCAGTTCAAGCATAAAAGAAAGACACTATTCAAAAAGTAACTAAAGCAAAAGAAGGCTAGTGGTGTGAGTCAAATAACAGAGTACCTGCTTAGCAAGTGCAAGGTCCTGGGTTCAAACCCCGCCACTGCAAAAAAAAAATAGTTTTGTTAACTATATTGGAGATGGAAATATGTTTATAGTACATTACATTACCTTTTAAGTATGCTGAATAATAGAAACATTTTTGAAAAATTGAATATCTATGCATAGTAATCAATAAAGATAGCCTGGTGCCTGTGGCTCACAGATTAAGAGGATCACGGTTCGAGGCCAGCGTGGGTGAATAGTTTGCAAGACCCCCACCTCCAAAGTAACCAGAGCAAGATGGACTGGAGGAGTGGCTCAAGTGATACAGCACCTGCTTTGCAATCGTGAAGCCGTAAGTTCAAGCCCCCGTTCCACCAAATAAATAAATAAATCTATAAAGATACATTCCAAAGTATCAATTTCTTTCTGGATAGGGTGATTATGGAAAATAATTATGGCTTATTGTCTGTGTACTCATTTTGAGTTAAAGCATTCCCCTCTGTTCTCTAAGATTGCCAAGTGTTTGCCTCTGTCATCACACTTAACACACTATGTAGCAGTAGTTGGTTTAGCCCTGACTTCTTCTCATTACACTGTAACTGTCAGAAAGTCAAGAGTTTCCTCTGTCTTTGCTTTTTACTCTGATTGCCTAGCAGAGGATCTGATACATAATGGGAACTCAGTAACCGTTAAAATAATGATTACTACAAATGCAATGTGGGTAAAGCCACCAGGACAGAGCATGTTGCATAATAGGCATGGCAGGTTTGCTCTTTCTTTAGGGACAGATGTAAAATGCTTTACAGATTTAAAGACAGTTCTTATTTCATCTTGATCAATGTCAGTTCTGAGGTCCTTAATAAAACCCAAAGTGTGGATTGATTTGAAACACTCAGAGTACTGATGAACAAGTATTTATTGATTGCATTCTAGCATTTTGGGGACACTGAAGTAAATGCAGAAGTAGTTACGGTTACACTTTCAAACAGCAAAGCCAGCTGTCAGTAAGTAACCGGCTTTCTGAGGGTTGGACCCTTTACAAAATTATGACATAGCTACTTGCCTCCTTTTTTCTTCCTCTTTCTCCCTTCTTCCTCCCTCTTCTCCTTTCTCTTCCTCCATTATCAAGAACTATGTATAGATGATGTTCCTCTCCTACTTCCTGGAGTTTCATTCTCCCTGACCTGCCCAGTGCTGCCAACCATATCACCTTCACCACTATACTCATCCCAACCAAATTGTAACAAATGCTTAATCTACTGTCTATATGGAAAGCAATCAATCTGATTAACCCCAACCAATGTGAGTGGAGCTTAATCTAAAGTCACAAAAAATCTTCAGAAACTGGCCAGAATAATGCTGGGTTTGTTTTTTGTTTGTTTGTTTTTTTGGTAGAATTATGGTTTGCACTCAGGGCTTCACACCTGCAAAGCAGGTGCTCTACCACTTGAGCCATACCTTCAGTTCATTTTGCTCTGGTTATTTTGGAAATTAGGGTCTCACGAACTTGCCCAAGCTGTCCTCAAATCTCAATCCTTCCAATTTCAGCCTCCCAAGTAACTAGGATTACAGGTGTGAGCCACCAGTACCAGGCCGGAATAATGCTTCTTTACAGGGAACACTAAACCAGATGAAATTAAGCCAGGATCTAATCCAGACCAATCCCTCTTTTCTTTCCTGACCATTACCCTCTGATCTAAGCTTCCTCCTCAATCTTCTGCTCTTTTAGTTGTGGTCATACCCCTCCCCTTCCTTATAAACCCCTTCCTGCCAATATTATTCCTATGACACTTTTCAAATCAGTGTGTTTATCCATTCATTTCATCTAAAAAACATTTCACAGTTCCAGCATCCATTTATTTTATACCTCAAATATTAAAACTGCTTTCGGTTTCTTTGTCCCTAATTCTAGCCTTACCAAAGCCTTACTGGCTATCTACCTAGCACAGTGCCAGACACTTATTAAGGTATCCACTAAATGCTACTGTTTTTATTCCCTAAGATACTTTCAACATTATTCAAATGCCTATTAAATTTGCCCATTTATTTATGCAACCAACATTTATTGCCAGTTATATGCCAGGCATTCAGAATACAAAAATGAATAATTCAACAGTTTCTAGTCCTCAGGGAGTTCACAGTCTCATTGGGGTGGCAGCCTATGTACACAGTGTATTTATAATTCAGAATCATAAGGATTTAGGGATGTTCTTGATGCAAATCTAAAATGTCTTAGCAGATATTTCTGTTACATTATGGGTTAAACTACCTTGTGTGGACTTCCCTGGGAAAATAACTGCAATTATTCATAGCATTGTTTCTAAGGGAAAATGTGTTCAGCATTCCAAACAGTCAATTTAAAATTGAATTTTTGGAACACAGCCCATTTGCTCCTGGGGCCGTCTATTTCTCCATTATCTGAGAATCCCTATCTGTCTCAGGACAATTTATATTGCTTTACAACTCCCACCTGTTCCGTATGACCTGCGGTACAACCTGAGGGTTGCAGAATCTTGCAATCGCTGACGTACTCACCAGGGCCCAATATTACATGATTGAGATGGCCCTCTGGTCAAGCAGGTTGAGTCACACAGGTAGTAATAAGGTAGCCCTGGGCCTGAATTTGACTGTTTAACATTTTATTATTAGAGAAGATAATCAAGATTGAGTCTATCAAGTGAGTGATGAAAGTTTGGAATTGCTGCTATGTGAAATGAGAGAGGTTGCTGATTAGGGACATAAAAAGGGATTGCAGGCATTGGGTGCCAGTGGCTCATGCCAGTAATCCTAGCTACTTGAGAGGGTGAGATGGGAGGAGTCCCAGGCAAATAGTTTGAGAGACCCCATCTTTAAAATAGCCAGAGCAAAATGGATTAGAGGTGAAGCCCTGAATTCAAACTCCAGTCCCACAAAAGGGGATGGGGAGTACAAGAATGATTTTTAAAAGGGCATATCTCATGGATAAAATACAATCCCTAAAGGTATATAAGTATACCCTTTTGGACCATAGAATCTTTAAAAAAAAAAACAAAAAAGTCTTTGGCCAGGCACTGGTGGCTCACACCTGTAATCCTAGCTATTCAGGAGGCAGAGATCAGGGGGATAGCGGTTCGAAGCCAGCCTGGGAACTATTTAGTTCATGAGATCTTATCTTGAAAAACCCTTCACAAAAATAGAGCTGGTGGAATGGTTAAGGTATAGGACCTGAGTTCAAACTCCAGTACTGAAAAAAAAAAATCTTGTAAACTGGGCATAGTGATAGGCCTGTAATCCAAACTAAGCAAGAGGGATATGTAGGAGGATTGTGCCTGAAGCTGGCCCTGGGCAGAGTGAGACCCCATCCAAAAATAGAACTAAAGCAAAAAGGACTGGGGTCATGTGCTTAGCAAGCACAAGGCCCTGAGTTCAAATCCTAAGGCACTGCTAAAAAAAAAGTCTTTGTAGACTTTTGTGGTGGTGCACATACCCATAATCCCAGCTACCAGGGATTTGTGGATAGGATCATCATCGAAGCCAGTTCCAGGCAAAAAGCACAAGACTATCTAAAAATAACTAAAGCTAAAAAGGGCTGGGGCTCAAGTGGTAAGGTGCCTGCCTAGCAAGTGCAAGGCCATGAGTTCAAACTTTAGTACCACACACACACACACACACACACACACAATTGTCCTTGTAATGCAAAGACAGACTAGGCTAAGAATGAGGCTATCTAATCTGAAGGTGGGGAAGCACAATTTTGTGAGCCAGACAATCCTTGTTATTCCTGAACTTTAGGAAGTGGCATGAAGCAGTGGAAAAAGCATGAACAAACCTAGAGGAAGATATTCAAGCTCTCTGAGTCGCTTTCTTATCTGTAAGATGGGGATAACAATACTTTCCTCAAAGGGTGAACATTGCAGTTATATCTTCTCCAGGTGTGTTTCTAACACCAGCATTGTGGATACACAGGGGAAAAGGACAGTCTCAAAGAGTTCTAGTCTAACAGCTAAGGCAGAGATGAACGTACATTTATAAGGCAGTGGAACAAGTACTTCAACATGACACTGTGAAAACATTAGAAAGGACACATAGCCAGATTTCAATTTCTTTTTTCAGTACTGGGGCTTGAACTCAGGGCCTTATGCTTGCTAGGCAGGCACTCTACCACTTGAGCCATATCCACCAGCCCTAACCAGATTTCAAGATTCTGGAAAATCTGGAGGAAGTGATACATAACATGTGATTTGCCAGACAGGAAAAACGAAGGAAGGACAAGAAGTTTCTAGACAGAAGCAAAAGCGTATAGAAATGCCTGGAGAAAGACGCTTACATGTTTGGGGAAATTCCGCACGTAGTTGAATGGAAGTACTAAGGAGGGAATAATGAGAAATAAGGTTGTTGTAATAAGCAGCGATCAGATTATAAAGAACCTTATCAATGCTATAAGGCTCATTCTGAAGGTAATGAGGCCTCACAGAAAATAGATTGGGGTAGAGGGAAGATTAGAAGCTGAGAAGCTAATTAGGAAGCTACTGCATTGGATGATCTTGCCCAGGGCTTGGCAGATTATATTCCAAAGGCCAAGTCTGGCACCTTGCCTATCTTTGTATGGCCCGTGAGATTACATGCCGGACACTGGTGGCTCACACCTGTAATCCTAGCTAATTGGGAGGCTGAGATCCAGAGGATTGAGGTTCAAGGCTAACCCTGGTAAATACTTGGCGAGACCCCATCTCCAAAATAACCAGAGCAAAATGGGCTGGAGGTGTGGCTCCAGTCCAGCAGAGCACCTGCTTTGTGAGCATGAAGCCCTGAGTTCAAACCCCAGTCCTACAAAAAAATCAATCAAAAAATTATATATCATGACACTTAAAAGTTTTATGAAATTCAAATTTCAGCACACAAAGTTTTATGGGAACATAGCTACACTTTTGCACTGCTACAACATATTAATATAATTACAACCACCAAAGCCTAAAATATTATTTGGTGCTTTACAGAAAAGTTTGGGGTGGGGCATTGGAGCATATACCCTGTAATCCCAGCTACTTAGGAAACATAGGTAGGAAGATCATTTCACATGAGAAACTGGGGCACAGAGATATAATTTGTTCAAGGTCATACAGCTAGTGTGATGTGAGTACTGAATCCAGGCAGTCTGGTTCCAGAATCTCTGCATTTTTATTCTATTCTATAAATTCGCAGATACTTGGACCCTAGCTGGAAAAGTAGGTTTGGAGGAAAATGATGGATGTAGATTTTGGACATGTAGTTTGAAGTGGCTGGGAAGCGTCCAGTAAGCAATGGGATAATTGGTTCTGATGCTCTGGGTTTTGGGGAGAGAGATCTTGGTTAGAGATGTAGACTTTGTGTGATGTCATACAGGTATCAACAGAAACTGGGGGAAGGGAAAAGAGCAATTATTCAGGGGGCTTGAGAGAACAATGAATGGAACTCTGAGGGTCACCTGTGTTTGAACAGAGTACAAAGGAAGGGCTGGGAATGTGGCTCAGTGGTAGAGTGCTGAGTGGGACGATTTGATATCCAAACCCTTGAAAAAAACAACTGACCAACTTAAAGCGGGTATGGCAGCTAACACCTGTAATTCTAGCTACTTGGGAGGCTTTGGTTTCAGATCAGCCTGGAAAATAGTTTGAAAGACCCCCCATCTCCAAAATAGCCAGAGCAAAATGGACTGGAGGTGTGGCTCAAGTGGTA